AATTGGGGGGGGATGGGAACAGTGATGGGGAATTGGGGGAAGGGGAACAGACAAGTTGCTGTCCTTTTGTTCTTCAGTCTAGTTGTGGAGGACGCTGCTTCACTGGCCCAAGTTGGCACCATCATTGCGCTCTTCCCTGGTGAGGCAGATCAGTCGCCGGCTTCTGGACGGCCGCTCACTGCGGCTGCTGGCCGCTCACGCTGGCTGCTGGCTACATATGGTAGCCCATGGCAACCCACTGCCACAGGGACTGCAGCCTACACCGTCGCCAGCGACTCACGGCAGCCCAGCTCCAGGTTGAGCTGTTGTTCAGCATCTTAGCTGTAGAGGGCAGTGTCACTGGCCCTCATATGTGGGATCCGAACCGGGGCCCTCTGGCATCCCAAGCAAGTTCTTAACCATCGCGCCACTCGGCCGGCCCAACAATCTTTGCTATATGTTGTATTGGTGGAACAATTCAGGTGCATTAATTTGTGAAATTAATATAATTTATACATTATGAATACAAATAAAATATTAAGAATATAGTGAAATAAAGTATAATGTAATATGTATATAGAAGTAGGCACATTTATATGTGAATCAGGAGAAGTCATGGTGCTTGTCCAGGTAATATAAACCTAAATAATGTTATAAATAAAGTCAAAGGCAATTTTATCATCATGCAAACAGGATAGAATGGCCCTGATGAAAGAATAAGAAAATCATGTGTTATGAGTTGCAGTCTAAATATAATTTCTGGAATTGTGTAAGCATGTAGTTGTCCGTTCTGATAGATTTCTTCTGTCAATAAATATTTGTTGGGTGTCTGCTTTATGCCCCACTCCTCTTCATGTGAGCATAAAGAAGTCCCTGACTGTACTGAAGTTTATATTCTAGGGGGAGATATGCTTAACAAGTGAAAATAAACATGTGATGGGGTATTTGCCCCAAGTGGTAGATGCAAAATGAATCTGGGTAAGGGGACAAAGAGATGGCTTGAGGAAGCGGCAGTGGTAGTTTAGGGATGGCCTCTCTGGTGAGACATTGGAGCAGAGACCTGAGTCAAGTGCAGGAGGGAACCACTCTGTCATCTGAAGAAACAGCACAGGAAGCAGAGGGAATAGCATATGCAAAGGCTAAATTGGGAGCATATTGCTGAGTGAAGGATTTGGAAAGGAGGACAATGTGAGACGAGCAGAATGGACAAGCCAGAGAGTAGTCAAAGTCAAGGCCAGAGGGAGACACTTGTGTGCAGTGGGGAGGATTTTATTCTGAGACAGGAAGCCGCTGGAAAAATTTGAGCATAGAAATGACATGATCAGAAAGTTTTGAAAAGATTACTCTAGCTACTGTGTGGAGGATAGACTTTAGCTCTCTGCAACTGTGATCTTTTGAACAGCTGTGGTCCTGAGTTTGTAATTAATCCTGGGTGTTGGTGGGCCATGTTTCAATGCCAAAGGTAACATAGGAACATCTTTACTGTGCAGGCAGATGATGTTAGTCATGAATTTTTGTCATAGTGAGTAGTTGGGAGGATAATTGATTGGCTACACAAAGAATGGTCAAAGCACAGGGATAGTTTTCAAGGTGACCAGGAACTTGGAATAAACTTGGGTATGTTATTACTCTGCTTTTATGGCCTCTTTATGTTCTTAAAATTCAGATGGAAAGTTCTTGGCAAAACTTTCTTCTGATATTGAAATGCTTGGGAATCTTATCATGTTTTAAGAGGGAATCTGTTTTGTTTCAAAACAAGCGGAGGAGTGGGAATGAATTTAGAAAGCTTGTCTTTAGAAAACTATATCCTTGCCACAACTTTTCAATTACGAAATTATCAAATATAGAAAGCATTGGTAGAAATTGTGACATTATTGGCAATAGTACATGGACATAAGGACTTTTATCATTATAGGTAAAATTGTTAATTAATTCCTTTTCTGAAGAACACAGAAAAGGAGCATGTAACAAAAGCTTCTAAAAATATCATGCTCTTTGACTCAGCAATCCCAATTCCAGGAATGTATCCTAAGGAAATAGTTCAAAATAAGTACAAAAATGATTGTAAGTGGTATTTAAAATAGCTTTACAATCACAAACAAGTATCTAACACTAAGCAATTGGTTAACCAAATTTAGTAAAACCTTAGAAAATTCTATGCAGTAATTGAAGAATTTTTTTTTATTTAATGACATGTAGAAATAGTCACAATATATTGCTAAATGAATAAAATGGGATACAAAATGTTATCTATAGTAAAAGTAAAGTAAAAAAACCACTTAGAAATCCACCAGAATGCTAACTAGTATTTATTTCTGCGTGGTAAGATTGGAAAATTTTTGTTTTCTTCTTTGTACTTTTTTATCTTTCCAAACTTTAGGTAATGAATATGTGCTATATTTAAGGAAATTACAGTGTCCATTATTTAAAAATCTGTGTTTTCATAATAAAAATATTAACATTGTAATACAAAACTATTTTGGTACTTTAAAAACATCTGAAAATATCCTAGATCATTTGAGCGGAAAAAGTGCTTTCCTAAGAAATTCTCTGTATGAGTTGTCTTCTATTTTGCTACAAAAGCTGTGAGAACTGACAATTATCTTTGCTTTTAATGGTCATCTTTATGGAGAGGTAAAGGAGAGGAACCTTGAGAGATGAAGGGCTGTATAGAGTGAATAAAGTGACGTGTAACATTGCTGGCTTGGGAGTCTCAGCATGCACAGGCCTCCTTTAGTACAGGTGGGAAATAGTCAAGGTTAGACACTGGCCAAGTTCTTGCTTTTAAGTTTCCGTTTCAGAAGGACATCTGAGAAAAAAAGACTAAGTGAAGCCTTTTCTGGTCTCATACCTAATAAGTCCTCGATGCTCAGGCCAGGGTCTCATTCTTGCTGAATCTGAAGCAGGCAACACCTGAGCGTACAGGCTTTCATCTACTTCCAAAGCATAACCCTCCAGGGGCGAGCCAGCAGACCAGGCAAGTGGGGATTGTGGTCGTGACACAGAGGGACTGACTGCTTCACTGTCAATTCTGAGTGAGTTGTAATTTTTAGATTATGCTAGTACTGTTTGGCTTCTTAGAATATTCTTTTGGTTCACTAGCTGCTAATTATTTATTTTAATTATTATTTATTATTATTGTAAACCATATTTCTTTAAAAAACTTTATTGAGGTATAATTGACATATATTAATTTCAGATGTACAACATAATGATTCCATATTTGTATACTAAGCCATATTTCTTTATAGCCTATGGACTGCTTGGAAAAAATCCTTGGTATCTTTTTGGCTCTGATGAAACACAGCTTCAAGTAATTGCTACAAAATCAGACATCCACCCATCATCCAATCCTACCAACCTTGGGATTTCTATTACCCTGTCAGCCAAGCAGATTTAATACACAAAGACCTAAAACACTGCTTATTTAAACTCTCTAGTTATATAGTGTTAACATTATTTACAGTAGGTAAGATGATATTTAACTTCTATGTACCATGTTTATAAAGTTCCTAAAATAAAGATGGATTTGTTAGCTAATCCAGCTGTTACCTCATTGTCATAAATTGATATCATCTCTAAACTAAATTATAGTAAAAAAATCCTTTTTTATTTGGCATATTGTATGAATGAGAAAAATTGATATTCAGAAACATTTTTAAAGAGAACACATTTAAATTATATGATGCACTCTTTTCATTTCCACTTTTGTTCTCTTAAGATTAATATAGTTAAGTCATTCCATTTTCCCTCCAAAAGCCACATAAGGCAGATATTTCACTATTTGTTTCCAAACACAGAGGGATCAGTAACTAACTATGCCTTAACAATTCACCTTAAACTGAGCAAAGTCCACATTCTAGTTCTGTTTTTCTTGAAGTACCTCAACTGAATATGAATATCTGAGAGGAAAGAAAGTGAGAAAGAAGGGAGGAAATGAGAGAGGGGATGAAGGAAGGGAGGGAGAGAGGGAGGGAGGGTGGGAGGAAAGAAAAGGTATTTTGGAGGCATCATGTTCTTATCTTGGAGGGCAGATCTACACCTAGTGTTATTTGAGTGAGCTTTTATTAACCAGAAGGCAGCATAATGGTAGATGTCAGGAAATTAGGTACATGGGTTGGTTATCAGATGATAGGCATGGGATGTCATCAGGCATGTGTCAGAAACTAAAGACAAACTTACTTGATATTACAGTGTTGCCTTGAATGGTACCAGATTGGGTGATGATACTTAAAATAGCCATGCTCATTATCATCATTATAATAGCTATTATTTATTAAGGGCTCAGGCACTTGCTAATAAGTGAAAGATAAGCATGTTCTACATGCATTACTTCATTTAATCCCCCCAATAATGATTAATACCTCTTTTTGACTAAGGCTCAGGCTTAGGCCAAAGAACTTGTACCAGATGAGACAGTTAGTATGGAGTATGGAACTTAAACTTTGGTCTTTGTGTTCCTGAAGTTCCTAGCAACCAGCTGCTGATCACATGAATTTCTACAACAGCTTGTTCTGTCAAATATATAGGAATCATGCAATAGCTTATTTGCTCTGTCTAGATGGAGTGAGTTTTGGGGTCAAATCACTGAAATCTACTAGTGGATGAAATGCTCATAGTATAGTAGTTTTAGAAATTCAAAAGAGAAGTGGTGATTGGTGTTATAAAAGCTGTAACACACATTTCTAGAAAGGAAAAGGCAACCAAACTCTTTTTTCAATCATTTCGTTGCATGTGCATTTGGCAAATCTGTCACTGCTTCTGGCTGTTGTCGTGTTTTTCAATGCAAGTACTTATGTGCATGGATTTCTTTACATCGTGATTTTCTTTTGTGTTTTCTTTTGTTTTTTGAAATCATAGCTTAGAAGCTGCTTAATCTTAATAGTTTTTAAAAACCAGGTCATATTTTAACATGAATGCTTTTAAATTAACTCCATTTGCTGAAATGATGTGAAATACCTCAGCAATGTTCCCATGACCTTTTTTTATATATTCTGATATTTTATATGATCTCTGATCAGTTGGACAGATAATAGCTGAAGCTGAGGAACCTGGCTGCCACTGCCCCTATGACACTGAGTCTGGTGTTAGCAGCACAGATGAGGGGGAGAAGCACTCGAGGAAGCCAGAGATTGACACAGGTGCAGGTAAGGGCACATCATTACCTCAGAAAGACCTTCAGAAATCCTCTGCCAAAGATAGCCCCATTTCCATCTTTCATCTTTCTATCCTTGTTTCCTCCTTCTTCCACTTTCCTTTTCTTTTCAACTAATGAATATGATGGCAGGAGGTAGTTGAGAGGCCCTAAGGGGAGCTTTGAAGCTGACATTAGATATGAATATTATTCTTTTTTGAATACATTGATGCCTAGAATGAAAAAAAAAAGGACTTTAGATTATAAAAAAATATTGGCAGGGATTTTCAGATGAGTCTTATTTCATAGCTTGCCTCCCAGCTAGTTGACCAGGTAGGAGGATTGAAGACATGGAGAACCAAGGCCCATTTCACAATGATTTATTTGAACTCCCTATTTTTTTTTAAATTAGAGAAGAATTTATTGCCATCAGGATATGACCTGGCTGTTGGTGATGAGTATTACAGCTGCAAAAGTGCCAATTAGAGTAATCCAACAGGCCATGATTCATACATCTGGTCAAACATCCCATGTCCTTGAAATCAGGCTTCCTCAGATTTAGTGGGTGACTTTTTAAAAATGCCTTGATCTGAATATATATATGTGTGTGGGCTAGTGGGGGAGATTATTTATTTTATTCATCATATGGCTGCATTACCCCCATATCCAATTTTTAATGATAGTCATGAAGCACTGTGAGGTATTTGAGATTTTACCCTATTTTCAAGCAAACAAATTAGCCAGCCACAGTTTCATAGATGCTAGCAGAAGACACAAGACTCCTGGGTGAGAGATAAAGAACTTTGCTACTCACAAAAAAAAAAAAAATAGCAGTAATCAGAATATTTACACTTATGCTAGCTCCCTGAGCTCTAATTCCCTCTAGGCAATGTGCAGAGGGCCAGGTGACATTTGAACACACAGTGGGCTGAGTTATAGGAGGGGGCCCTGAGCTTAGAGAACCCAAATCTAATATAGTGAACATTCAACCAAAGGAGTTTTAGTGTACCTCCCCAAACAGTCTTGAATGCAGGCACAATAGTTAGATCAAATCTGATTCAAGCAAGAACATATTGTAAGCAGTGGGAGGGAAGTGTGAAAGGAAAATTTGTTAGGGCTTTCTGTGTTCCAGGCACTGTGCTAAGCATTTTATGGTTTACTATCACAAGGATTCTGTGAGTCAAGCATTGCTATTCCTGTTTTATGGGTAAGAGAATGAAGGTTTAGAGAGGTGTTATTTCCCAAGTTCATACAACTAGTAAGTGGTAGAGCTGACACTCGTACCCAGGTCTGTGTGACTCCCCAATACACACTCATTTCACTAAATCAAATTACCCCTATTTGTGAATATTGTTTGCTCTCTTATATTCATTTCCCCCCCAAATTCCATGATGTTACCATAAAAAATATGCCAATTTTTGTACTGATATTTCTTAGAAGGGTTTCAATTACTCTTTCTAACCTTTGCTTCAGGAATATCATGCCTGACTTCCCGATAGTGTGTGTCCATATAATAGCTCACTGGCCGCCATTAGCACTTTCTCTCCTACAATTTAAGCATAGTATATTATTACATGGTGGCTAGGCAGTTTTATTCCCCTGTTTTCCTGAATGTTCTTTAAATAATCCATAATTTCAGAGGCCAGTTTAGCAAAAGAGAGGACTTTATTTAAATGTTTTTCATAACTTTTTAATATACTTTCATGCAGGAATTTGAATAGCAACAGATATACTATTAAAGAGACTTAACAGACACTGCTGTTTCTTAATGTTGTAAATTAATTTTGTTCCAAATCCAGTAATAATCTGTAATGAAATAAAATGAATGATATTCTTTCGGGCACATTGGCTACATGTTCTCTGAGTGAACATTTGGTTCTACATTTCCCTCTGGGAGCTTTCTGGTACAATTTAGTATATAACTAGTATAACATGCTGAGGACCACCTATTAAAATCAACACCAACTGTATTGATAGACCTGACGTTTCTATGTTATTCTTTCAAAAGAAGACATCAAATGTTACCTTCCAAATACATTTTTAAGGAAAATGTAATATCAGCTATTATTGCCTTACTTCAATATGGTTTCTTCTAATAGCTGGCAAGAAACAAAGGGACTGCAATAAAGAATGGTCATGTTTTGTGCTAGGAGAGGAAATGGAGTGATAAGACAGTCCTGGATGGGGTATCAGAATAGGGAAGAAGCGAACGTCAGGGCTTTAGTATTCTGGTTGATGGTGATGGGATAGGCGGTGAAATGGCTAGTCAAAAGGCAAGCAAGTACAGAAAAATGAGGGAGACACATTTGCCTGCTTTATATGTTTACATAATTTGGAGGTTTATGTCTTGGCATGATCATTTATTTTATAACATCCAGTCCGGTGTCTTCTATAAATGAAAAAGATAAGATTGATAGAAACTATTAAGATGACTATGTTAGAAGCTTCTGTCTTCCTAAGTAATTTTCTGCAGTGGAAAAATTTAAATGATTTGAATATTTGGCATGACATACCTTTATTTATTTTGCATAGATCATTTCAACAAAAACACATGAATTTGTTAAATACTAAGAAATCTATTTGAGACCTTTTAAGAAATATTGAACTTAAATTCATTGAAGTATGATAGCTAGTATGCCCAGATTTGCCAGGGAATTATGGATGAGAACTTATGAAACGCTTCAAGAAGGTTATTTACGTTGAAAATTGCCCCAGACTACAAAGTCTTGTGTTGCTATGTGATCGTTTTACCAAAGGCAAATCGGTTTCTGAATGTAGATGGGAGGCATCCTGACCTGTAATACAAATCGGTGTCTTTAATAAAAAGCCTTACCTTGAGCTACAAAGTTATTTGATGACAGAATCTAGACATAGCAGCTTTCAAATGTAGGAGTAATATGTGGGATAATGATGAGCTTGCACTGTATTCTTATTGTGTTGTTAAATGTCCACGTGAATACAAGAAACATAGGCTAAGATCAGGCATGTTATGGTGCTTTAGGGAACAATGATTTCTAAGAAGATGAAATAAATAATCACTATCTTTTTTATTGTACAATTTTTCTGCAAGTCCTAATATTTAAAATGAATGTAGGAGGTGTGTGTGTGTGTGTGTGTGTGTGTGTGTGTGTGTGCGCAGTGAGTGAGAGAGAGAGATTGATCTGATTATCCTAAAACATGAAGTTTTTGTTTGTTTTCAACATGTGTGATGTTCACTTTTCCCTTGATATCAGTGAGTCTGTTAAATCTGATAGCATTTCTTTTCATCATGAAAAGCCATCCTGACACATGTTATAGTCGATGGTATCATAGAATGGAGGAAATGCTTTATATATAATATCAATAACTGCTTGATATTACCCATAAATATTTCATATTAAATACGATTATATATAATATCTCCTCCCTGTGCACTTTGATTAAAGTAACCTTGTTTTCTAACTTTATTTTATAGCACCGAATAGGAATTTAATGGTGGAGGAAAGGGAAGCCCTCAACTCAAACAAGGAATCCAAGCCAGTTGCATCAGAAATGGATACACTGGAGAAGGAAGGAGCAATGGTGGAAGATGAAGTCCCCCAACACAGGGATGTTGACACAACAGAACAAAGAGTGGATGTAACACTGTGGGGTTCAGCAGGGGTTAATGAGGTTCCCTTTGGGGAGGGGAAGCCAACAGCAGAGCAGCCAGTATTAGTAGAACAATTTACAGAGGGAAGGGAAGTCCCTCAGCACATAGCAAGTGGGGCAGAGGCAGAAGAAGAAAAGGATAGAGGGCTGGATAAAGAGGGGTTAAACCTCATGGGAAAAGCAACAGCAAGAGACTCTGGAGGTCTGAAGGAAGATGAGGCTCCTGAAGAACAAGCCTCGATGCAGACAGTGCTGGAGACAGAGAAGGCAGCTTCTGAAGAGGAACAGGGTTTGGAGAAGACAATGCTAGCAAGCAAGGCCCCAGCTCAGAGCTCAGAGTGTGTGCAGGAGGCAGCAGCCCTGAGCGAGGCCATGTTGCTGAAGGGAGAGGCTGAGAGCAGGGCAGCTGTGAGTGAGGCAGGGTCTGAAAAGCCAGATGTGGAGGAAAGAGAAGAGGAAGCATCCACAGATCTAGAGGCCATGGGGCCTGAGGAAGACTCTGCCTCCTGGGGAGAGGGTGGTTCAGAAGAGGCAATACTTGGGGGAGAGGAAACAGCGCAAGACAGGAAAGCAGTTATGGGAACAGAAACACCATTTTGCTCCTCAACTGCTGAGAAGGCTGAGGCAACCCAGATGGAAGTTTCGCAGGACAGCCGGGAAGAACTTGACAAGGAAGATGTGGAAAGGAAGGAGGTTGTGACTGAGGCAGAATCTAATAAGGACAATGACAGGAGAGAAATATTACCTGAGGAAGTCTATGCAGCAAAAGAGGCAGTGAAAGCTGAGAGGCCAAAAACACCTCTAGGGGAAACTGAATCTGAGAGAGAAGAGGTGACAAGGGCAAAGGTACTTCAGGGTGAAGACATTTTAGAAGAGGAGCAAGAGTTTCAAGGGGAAGAGGGGAAACCTGTGAAGGAAGGAAGACATGAGGAAGAGACACAAGGCCCCCAAACTGAAATGGAATGTGATGTTGAGAAGGAAGCACCCACGGAGGCATCTGAATTGCCTGAAGACTCAGGGCCACAGGAAGAATATGTACTGAGAGAGAGAGAGGTGTCCATGTTTGAAATGGCACCTGAATTTGAAAAGTCACTGGAAAACGTAATAGCTCTGAGGAAAGACGAAGGAGGGGAAAGACTTAGAGAAACTGGAGACACAGAGCACGAAGGCAGAGCAGAGATGCTTCACAGAGAGGAGGAGAACATGGCTCCCTTAGCGCCAGATGAGGGGCCAGGCCCTGAGGGAGAGGGTGTGATGGCAGCTCCTGAGAGTGACCCAGTGAGACAGGTGCAGGCAGCTGAAGCTCCGATCACAGCCACAGGCGAGGCCCAGGAGTGTGCAGCCCAAGATCAAGATGGCCTTGCAGGACTGGGAAGGAGAGGTAAGGAAGGGTCTGTACAAGGGCGACAAGGAGTAGGGGCCATGGCAACGACCCAAGGAGATGTTCCTGAGGGAGATGCCATCATGGCAGGAACATTGAGTGAAGAAGTGATGGATGAGGACCCAGAAGGGGAGGCTGATGAAGAGTGCACCCTGGGGACAGGAGTGATGAAGAACAGGGACGCAGAGGGGGATGGGAGCTTGCCAGGAGGAGGAGTTGTGGCTGAGGAAGATTTGCATCAAGAAGGAGGAACGGCAGAAATGTCCGAGGAGAAGAAAGAGGTGTTGGCAGCTTCAAAGACAGCTGAGGAGAAAACAGCTGCTAATACAGCCTCCAACTTTTCAGGTGTTGCTGGTGAAGAAACTTGGCACACAATGGATGAGTCACTAGGAAAAACAGCAGCGGCAGAGAGGGTGGCAGTAGAGGAAACAGCGCTGAGCAGGGAAGACGTGCCAGCAGTGGAGGAGGTGCCAGTGATTGGAGCATCAGAGACTGGGCTGGGGGATCTAAGGGGAGCTTCAGACCTGGAAGGGAAGGCCCTACAGCTGGGGCAGGCTCCAAAGGGAGGGGACGCTGGCACCACTCAGCAGCCGGCAGAGTCAACAGGAGAGGAGGAAGGGCTGGGTAGCCTTGTTGGGGGACAGGAGTTGGGCCAGGCTGAAGAATTCAGACTAGGATTATGCCAAGAGCGAGAGTCAGAGCCAGGTAGAGAGAACCTACAGGACTTGGAAACACTCCCTGTAAAACCCGACTACACTGGGACCCAAGAGAGACAAGAGCATACAGTGCAAAGAGAAAGTGAGAACGTAGGTGTTTCCATGGACGACATGAAGGCCTAAGAGACTTCGTGGCAGACGGTGAGTTTCAGCCTGATCTGTTTGTGGAATAAAACAGATAACCCATCTGGGGTCCCCTACCCTGGCTTATCCCTTTATGGGTCCTTGTATACACATATACACATGAGCACGTGGGCTTCAGTGCTCTGCCGCTTAACACCCAGCCATCAGAATCAGGCTTAGTGAATTGGAGGTGGGGGCCAAAGCACACACAGGGACCCACATCTCTTCCCTTTGCATCTCTAAATCACACCCTCTGTCTTTGCAAGCATAGCTCTCTGATGTAGTGAGATCCATATCTCCCTTAGAGCGCCCCAAAGATGCAATACAGAGGAGAATGTACCACAGGGACATACCACACAAGGAAAGAAGCAAACTCTAGTCCGGAATTCACTTCCCTTTTAGTGTTGAAAGGAATGGCTATGATTATTTGCCTTTAAATGGGCTCTATGCCTTCATTTCTTCAGTTTTGTGAAGTGTGATATATATGGATGTATGCATATATAGCCATTAACATATTAAAATATTAAAAATATATGAAAATTATAAAAATATATAAATCATATGTACATACGTAAAATATTGACGATTGTAGCAAAAGACCAAAATTATTTTTAACATTCTGTTGTATTCCTGCTATTTCCTTGATGCCCTCACATCCTTAGTGCCTAGTTTCTACTATCCTGAGTGATTATATTCATAGTTTACTATCCTTTTTATTATGTTTCAGGCTATTTTAAAAATGTGTTCTGGAAGACTTGAAGAGCAGAGAAATATTCATCCAAGCACCTCACCAGGACTTTAGGCTTTATCTTTTTTTTTTTTGAGAAAAATCTCTGTGCTTGTCTGAGCTGGCTCCCAGTCTGTCAGTGCTGGTTAGTAGCAGTGAGCACCTTGACAATGGCTGACAGATCTGTCAGACCCTCCTTACCGCAGTGGTTCCTAGCAGAGGCCTGTGAGGCTATTAAGTGTTCAACAGAGTAACATGTCTATATTCAAATTAAATCGATATTTTTCAAATGTTTGACTTTTACCAAAGATAACTTGAGTGGCCCAGTTCCGATGTCTGGGGTTTGTTTAAATTCTTTTTTATTGATAATCAAACATTAGACCCAGTTTCATACATGAGAGTTTTACTTAAAATCGGTGGCTTGGGGCTTTAATGACGTGATCTGTGAAAATGAGCTTGAAAAGGTCTTTCCATGTACACTCAGTACTCAAGATTGCTCCTGACCTGTAAAATGATCCTATGGCATGTATATTCGCTTAGAAATAGCCATTCTTTCTATTTATGCCAGAAGAGTAATTTAAAGTGGAAATCTTATTTCGAAGTGCCCTTGGCTTTTTTTGTGTGTGTTTCTGTAGTTTTGCTTTCTGAGGTAGACTGGTAAATGCTTCTGGTATTTCAGCCCTGGGTGCCTTATTTCTGGGCCGCTTGAATTTTAATCATAGTAGTAAATAATTTAGCTAAGTGAAATGAGTAACAATAATTATAGCAGGTCAACATCGCACATCAGCACATACACCAACATTCTAGATGCGTTGGTTGATGTCATTCAATGGAAAAGAAACTTGGATTAAATTATTGGGCCTCTCACCTTCCCAAGGTCTGTTATTTCAAACCTGTGAACTAACCTCGGAGTGCATTGTAAATCAATAGTCACAACTGCTTTCTAAATTACTCCCTGATATTACCAGAAATAGTTGTGCATCAGTGTGCCTCCTGGGGATTTTGATTTCCTCGAATGGCACATTGGTTTGGCTGTCTTTTCTCCATGTGAGAAGGCAAAAGAAAATTTCTGAAAATCAGTGTTTCTCCAGCTAGACTACACATTTAGACTTTCATGGGACATTTTCATGAATGCATGAAGGATTCATCCATTGTTCCTACTGCAAATATTCAGATTTAATTAGTTTTAGATGGGCGCAGGCATCAGGTTTATTATTATTATTATTATTATTATTATTATTATTATTATTATTATTTAGTTGATTCTACCATGTGGCCAAAATTGAGAACTGCTGTCCTAAATCATCATATAATCTATGCTGGCTGCCCTACCATGGTTCTCAAAATGTGGTCCCTTGATCAGGATATCAGCATCACTTGAAACTGTCCCAAATACCAATTCTTGCCCTTATCTTGTACCTATTAAATTGGAAAGTCTGTGGGAGGAGCCTAGCAACTGTTGTTTTATCAAGCTTCCCAGGTAATTTGGATGTACTCTAAAGTCTGCAAATTGCTGTCATGACATTGATTATATTGAGGATTAGTCTTCATTGAAAAGTGGATTGCAGAAGCATTGTGAACTTCCTCTCTCTCTCTCTCTCTCTCTCTCTCTCTCTCTCTCTCTCTGTTTCTCTCCCCTCCTTCTCTCTTTTTCTCTTCCTCTGTTTTTCTATCTCTAGGAAAGAGTACTTACTATAAAAGTGATGAATTCAACTTTAAACTCATTTTTATTATGACTGTACTGATGTGCATGAAGTCCTACAGCCCACCTCTCTCTTGAGGATGAGTGTCAATCACAGCACAATGTAGATCTTTATTTTATGAGTGGATTCCGTCTACATTATATCCAATTTCTTTTATTACTGAGCTGCATTACTGTGGAACTTTACAGTATTTGTTCCTTGATCTCAACCTCAATGCTACAGAGCACTTTGAATACATCGAACTTTACGGGAAAGATTTTAAATTTGTTAATTTCATTGAAGAAGGAGTTTTGTACAATGTGTTAAATGGAAATTGCATTGGATTATTTTTATATTTAACACATTCTGTGGAAACATTCTGTAACATGATTCTACAATCTGCATGTGGGTTTAACTGTGAAATTCAGTGTTGTGATATTTTGACTAAAGGAGCTCTTTCTCTGCAAATCCTGTGTTGATAAAATTATTTGTATGTTTAAGTGAACTGATTTTCCCTAGTTTCATTATTAAAAGCATAAATAAATAAAACATATGTTTATGGAGAAGACATGTGAATGGTTCTTTATAAATAAGACTATATTTAAAAAATCTTCTTTGTTCTTTCCTTACAAAATTTAAACTCCATAGAGCAGAACCGAGAGAATATTTCGTGGGGCTATATTTTTGAGTACAGTGTTTACATTGACTGTATTTATACATGCCTTTCACATATATGAGATAATAGAGAGGAAAATTATTATCACTATTTCATAGATAAGTAAATAGAAGCTTAATAAAGTTAAGTGACTTTTCTAAAATCATGGTCAATCTCAGGTCTTCTTACTCCAAAGTCTATTTTCATCACACATACTACCTTCTAGGGAGAGGTATATGGATACTAAGATGCTATATGTAAACCTGTACGTAGTTTTGTATATTTGTAGAAGGAAGGGAAAAACTTAACAAGGAAAATAAAGAAGAGTGAGTTTGAGAGTGACTTTAGAGAATTCTAGCTTTATTTATTCCTTGTCCTCTTGAACCTCTTGCTGCTGGCCCTGGTAGCAGGTAACTCCTTTTAAATGACACAGTGGAGTGGTATAGAAGGGGAAAGATTAAATCTCATTCTTATATCCTGCATCTGCAAGGAGGGAGTGATATTTCTAGTCACTGTCGTTCAAAGAATACAGTAGATTGTTTAAATAATACAAGAGAAAAATAGACAACCAAAGTAAAGGTAAGCAGAATTAACCTATTTGAATTTCTTGAGTTAAGCCTTTTCTATGGCTTTATAAACTCATGTGTTGTAAAATTAAAATATAGTTGAGTTTCTTAACACTTCTAAGATTAATAATGTGCCACAGTTATTTCTCTTGGAAAATGATTGTTTGAGAAAAGAAAAGAAAGCCTTAAGAAAATTCATCTAGTAAATGAAATATTCCAACGGCTTCAAGGACAGCCAGGAGAAAGCAGCTGCTTCTGACCTTGGGTAATATTTCCTTCCAGTCTCCTATACCACCTGATTATGTCATTTAAATGAAGTTCCCTGTCCATGGCCAGCAGCAAGAGGTCCAAGAGAACAGGGAATAAATACAGCTAGAATTTTTAAAAAGTTGCTCTCAAACTCACCGTTTTTTTCTTTTTTTCTTTAAGTTTTTTCATTCCCTCTGTTATGCCCTGAGACAGGAAATCTATGCTCTTCAAAATAATGGGAAACCTTAACTCTGTTAAGTAAAATGCTGGATATTTGAGAATGCACATTCCTTTTGCAATTCATTCCAGAAGTCTCAGGCTGTTTAATAATCTGTGCAAGCCTTACAATATTTTGGAATGATTCAATACCCCCAATTTTTTTATTAGGAAAACTAAGGTACAGAAAAAATTCCTGGAACAGAACCTGGTGCCAAAGTCTGAGAGCCAGCTCTCGGCCTCCTTTGTCAAATGTTTTCTGGTCTTTATTAAATTAGTACGAATGTGACTCAGAGACCTTCAAGCTGATGTGGGTGTACCTCTGACAAGACAAGAAACTTTCCAAGGCATTCACTGGCAAGGCTACCTTGCAGATGTTCAACCTCCATATAAACTTTCGTCATAAAATGGACCCGAGAACTAGCTTATACTCAAGGTCTTTCCTTTTGCCAGTGCCCCCCACTCTCCCTTCACAATAAAGGCCAACTCTTCATTCATTTACCAGTTTTATTGTGTTGTCTCTGGGATGTCACAAACAACAAAGGAACAATTTGGAATATGGTGTAGGTATTAAGAAAAGGAATGACCTTAATGACTGGTTAACAAATCCTCTGCAAGTCAAGTGGTTTTCAATTCTTTGTTTTTGAGAAAGCTAAATGAAGACCTAATTAAATTGTTCTTGAAAAGCCATTAAAATAATTTTTGGTATTTTATGTCTGTGATTCTTGGTAAATCACTTAGAAAGAGTTCAAAGAGCACTGCAGTACAATGCAACCAAATCACTTCCATTCCCATCTGCTTTTTTATGAGACATGCACAAATACTGTATTGTACATCTATGCCAGGGGTTGGCAAACTGCGGCTCATGAGCCACATACAGCTCTTTGGGTACGTTCCGACTCAAAAGTTTGCCGAACCTGGGAAGAGCCAATCCTGTCTCTCACAACAATTTAAAAATTATTCGAGAGCCATAAATATATTTTTACAAATAAGGAAAATTTATTTAAAGTAATATTATAAATGAAACTATGATAGTTTTATTTTCATTTTCAATTTTACTTCAGAGCCACCTGTACGCACCCGAAGAGCCACATGTGGCTTGTGAGCCGTAGTTTGCTGACCCCTGGCGGCTCTTCCTTCTCAAAAGTTTGCCGACCCCTGACTTATACAAATAAAACAGAAAATGGAATAAAACTGATGTTGAACACTATCCTTTAGCAGTAAATAATACAGAAACTAATTAAAAGTAGAAATCACAATCTTATGAGATGCATTTCTACTTTTACTTTTTATGTACAATGATTATCAAAATTTATAATACATGTATTTTGTTTTGATCAAATGCATATTACTAATAATTGTAATGATAACTCAGCCTAGAAGAAATTTAACACACAGAACCCTATGTTCATAAGACATTTTTAAATTTTAATTTTAATTTATGTAATATAGTTACAGAAAAGTATGAAAAGGGTGATCAAAAAAGACTTTAAAGCATAAAAATATATTAAAATAGGATAAAAATCTGTGGGCAGAGTGGAATAAAAAAAATGCAGGTTTTTATTAAGAAAAAAATAACATGAAATTTCCTAATGCTAAAGCAGAACTTAGTCATGTACTTTTTAAAATAGATATCTTAGGTCAAGTTCCCAGGGAAACACTAGAACAGCAGTTTGTATGCAGCAAGTTTATTGGGCCATACACTTGGGAATAACACTGTGGGGAGTGAGGGAAGCAGAAATGGGGGGAGAGGTGGGCTCTGGGGTAGTCACCACAGAGCCTGCAGCCCTTCCCATGGGGAACTCTGGAGCGGGGATGGCAGAATGAGGCGAGTAGGTCAGGCCTCAGTGCCCACAATAGACCAGTCACTGATTTTGGCTGCCTCCCCAGGAGGAAGCATAACCTTTTAACTAGGCAGTGCCCTTCAGTCACAACCACTTCCTGTGGAGAGACTCAGATACGAGCCAGCAGTACATCGCGCTCAGGGCAGCTGGGGAACGAAGGCATTGACCATAAAGGAGGTATCTGGATGGCATCTCTCTGCATCTAGCACGCGGGAAAAGGTGATATCAAATTGCGATGACATTTTGATTTCCTAGGACACATTTTGGAAAGAGATGTAACCATTTTATCTTAAAACATTCAATTTTATAACGTGCTAGAAGTTACATCTGTAACTACTGTTTAAACGTATATGAAAATTGCAGATGTCAGTAAAAACTCTCTGAGGGGGACTGACAGGTTTTCAAAGCTCTCTCAGTGGTATATGAGTAAAAATATTTGAAGAGCACTGGTGTCATAGACAAGTTGACTAGCACGGGGCTGCATGTCTCAAGCTATAAGGCGTGGCAGCAGCCATCACAAGTGAGTTGCTAAAAGTTTGATTAAGGTGTAAAGTTTGTTTTGGCCGCACAGTAGTAAAGGGATTATCTGTCAGAAGAGTGAATGAGTCTTGCAGCTTGGTCATGCAGCTTGGTGTTGCTACAGGGTAGACGTCAGGGCCTTAGTACAATACCCACCTATTCCTGGGGAAGGAAAGGTGCCCCTTGTGTGTGTCTGAGTACACAGGGCAGTAAACAGTTGTACTCAAACAGAAACTTAATCCTAAAGAGCAAGGGTCAGCAAAGTCTTCCTGTAAAGAACCAGAAAGCATATATTTCAGATTTTGTGGGACATAAAGTTGCAGCTACTCGGTCCTGCCATTTTAGGGTGAAAGCATCCATAGGCAATACTTAAACAAATGAGTGTGGTTGTGTTCCAATAAAACTTTATTTACAAAAAAAGGTAGAGTACCAGATTTGGCATAAGGAGTGTATATATATAGATTGCCAACCTGTGCTAAAAAGCAATCAAGTAAATAGTGCTGTAACTATGTAGGCTAATCCTTACCCCCCCACACACCCTAATATGCCACAGAAATTTTAGTTTTCAAAAATATGCCTTAATCGGAAAAGTTTGGAGACACCTGGCACAAGGAACTAAACTGCCCTTGAACCCCTTGGTTTAATGGATGATTTATCTGTATCTTTTTCTCTTTTTATAACTATTGTTAAATCTTAGCCAGGTTTTCAATTCCTCCTTCACCGTCTTCTCTGATACATCTGTTAGAATGCAAACGTGAGATGTGAAGAAGGGAAAAGGAACTGTAGGGTTCTGATAATTGCATTTCATGTAACACAGGCTGACTTGCTTTTCAATAGACTGTCAGCTCCACGAAGAAGAGACTGGGTCTATTCGGGCCCATGTTCAATCCCCTGGGCCAAGAACAATGTGTGACCCATGGCGTGTGCTCAATAAATATCTGGTAAATGAATGACTAAATGAGCTAAAATGCAGATTGAGGGAATGTGATATGTTTCTCTGAACATTTTTAAGCCTAAGTTTGATTGAGGTAGCTAGGATGCAGGCAAGGGAGTATATGATCTTTTCGTAAAATATTACTGCATAAAACATATTTTCATCCAATGATATTTTCATAAAACCTTAGAGGCGATAGGAACAGTAGAGATCAAAGATGCTACCAGTTCCTTTTTGGAAACCAGATGGAGAAAGCAGAAGCCCAGACAGTCTGAGGAAAGGGTTACACATTGGTTAGGGACAAAACAGAATTAGAACTCTTATCTCCGGAGTTCACTTCATTTCACAATGGTGCTTCATAGTCAGATTTTCTTTTTAGAGACACAGAATCCTAATTTGTAATGAAATTCATTCTGTGAAACTTGGTGTTGGTTTTTTTTTGTTGTTGTTGTTGTTTTTCATTTTTTGTTTTTTTAAGGCAGCTAATTTAGTTCTTGTTTTACAAACACTGAAATACAAGATTTCAAATGCGGTGTAAGTGAAACACTTTGGTTGTCTGGATTATAGATATCCCTGAGGTTTG